ATTTTTATAATTATGTATGTTGGCTTTGAAAAGGAGCATATATTTTAGGAAAAGAGATATTAGAAAAAATTCAAGGTGCACATTTATGCTTTGCTAAGATTCAATCACAACACTCTCAAGAAAATTCTGTCCAAGTCAGTTACTTTCTCTTTTAAAAAGTGTGGCATTCTTTAGATCAAAGTTGTTGTTGAACTTATTTGCATGTATGACTAACGCATTTCATAAACTGTTATGTATGAGATACTTTTTGTTGGTTGGTTGTTTGGGGTTTTATGGCATATCAACCACTATGGGTCATTTAATGCCAAATCCAGTTTGCACATATATATCAAATATATATATTTTGTAAACATAATTTGAAGATAACGTCCTTAAACCATAGTTTGTTTATTCTTATTCAAGTAAATGGTTTCAAATGTTTCTATCTGGCATGAGTTTGTTATTTATATTAAATAAAGTAATTCATTTGCATAGCCAATTGATGTAATTTTTCACTACCAGTTTTATTTGCAGTGAAAAAAGGCCTAATGTAGTATTAATAAATATGGTATTGTTTGAAATTAATGGAGGTTGTTTCTTTTAAGAAGATTTCTTGTAGGCAAACTATTTTGGGGTTATGGTTGGTCAGAAGTTATTGAAGTTCCTCATAATTAGCCCAGATTCCTCTACAATTCCACTGTAGGATTGCATTATTTTGTAATTTCATTGTTTGATGTGTAATTTGTCTGAATTGGAGTTATTGCTCTTTTGTGACTTGCTTTTAGTGCTCAGCTCATCGATTTCCATCCTTTCTAAAAAACTAAACCTGTTTTCTGTATCAAACTTTGAGGTTGATTGTTCTGTAGGTTGACTTGTTAGATTTGAAGACTTTAGACGTTCCCGTGAGGAAGTTAAGGTATGGTCTCTCTTGGTTTGCGATGGACGTTCTTCTTTGTCCTTGTTTGATTCGGGGTTTTATATATTATTTTTCCCATCGTTATCGATTTTAGAAGTTGAAAGACAGATTGATGATCGTTGCAGGTTTTGTCTTTTGGTAAGAGTGGTCTGTGTCTGTGATGTTTTTTTGGTTATTTCTTTTTCATTCTTTATTTTGTCATCTTTTTTTTTTTTAATCTGAGCTGGAACTTTCACTTGGAATGTTTGTTGAGTCCTATTGGCATGTGTTCCTTCTTTAGTTCTGCCTGGAATTTTGTCCACTCGCTTGGATCTAAATTTATGAGTTTTTCAATTAGGGTTCTATATTTGTTATTTTCATTGGTTGTTTCAGCTCTCCATATAACAGAGGCATAGCTAGTCTCACCCATATAGACCTCTACAATTTTTCTGGCCTCCAAGAAAGACACATTTCTCTTATGTTTTACCTCAATGATTTCTTTCTCTTTCCTGTAGACGTCACAAGATCTTGTGTATGCCAGATGATCCTGTTGACAATTTGGACATTTTAGTGGTTTCAAGCATTCCTCCTCTTTATGATTTGGTTCTTTTTCTCCGCAGTTGGCACATGTCTGTCGTCCTCTACAAGCGTCCCTGTGGTGTCCAAATTTCTGACATTTTATGCACCTCAATGGAGCTGGGACATACTGTTCGACTCTCTCCAGACAATAGCCTATTTAGGGGTTTGGGACTGGTTAAAAGTCAATATGTAGGTGTTAGTTTCAACTTTTTCATCACCCTTTCTTATAGTCCCTCTTCTTATATTTGTCACTCCCTGTTTTCCCAGGACATCTCTTATCTCGTCTTCTGAGGCTAAAGCCAACTCCCGACTTCTGATGACACTTTTGGAAGTGTTAAGTCTCTCATGCAGATAAGTTTTACATTTGGAGTTATGAAATCTTTTCATTTTTAGGAGGTTTTCTGCTTGTCTCCTGCTATCCACCTCAACAAGCAAGTTTCCATTTCTCAATTTTTTAACATTTTTTGGTGTTGCTCGTGCAGAGATAATTTTTTTCAATTAAAAATGAAGAGAATTTAGCAAGACAGACCTCTTCCAGGGATTCAATGATAATGAATCTGGGGAAGTCTGCTGTTTCACACTCAGAGTCTGATTCAGATAAATTTCTTTTAGTTTTTTTTATTTAAGGATGGCATGTTTGGGTTTTTATTTTCACTGGCTCTGTGCTCCACCACCCACCACAGAGTGCAACTTGAGAAGGGAATGAACCAAGGGGGTAACCCATTCGCCATGGTTGAGACAGGGATACATGACCAGTATACTCATATTAAGAGCAAGTCTTGAGCCTCTGCAAAATTTTGCTTATAAAGTCCTTCAATTTAACAATGGTGAAAAAGTCTTTTGCTCTCAACACAGTTGACCCTCAGCCCCTGCCTTCTAGCACATATAAGATAAAGGGTTGTGAAATGTTCTACTAATATAGATTCAATAATACTATTGGGATAAAAAAAAATATATATGAGCTAGGGCATGTCGGGATTAGCTGATTGATCAGATCGGGCCTCTCCGACCGCCCGTCTAGCCCAGTTAAGGGCCAAAGTGGTGTGTTGTAGGAACATGACCTCTTTGCACCCAGGTCAGGATCCCATCTCCAGACATTATGGGTCGCCACCCACAGCCAACAGGTGGCCCCCTTGGGGGAATTTTAACCCCTGTAGAGGTGCAGTCAGCGTATTCTGAAGCACCGCCGACAGAGCCCGATACTTTTTGTGTTCATAAATATGTTTCCTTAAATTTGTGCAAGTTTCCCAAATATATTGTAAGGAACAGTTGTGACATGTTATTTTATAGATTTATCATGCCTCAGATTTATTATTATAGATATTTTTTTGACTCTGATCATATCCATAATAATTTTGGATGTGGTCATAAATATTTTGATATTGTTAAGATTGCATAAACTGTTTTGGATAGTAGATTTTAAGGAGTTAGCAGGTAGTATTATTTTTTATCTATTTTCATTGTTATTAATGTATGCTTTTCTCTTAGCATTGTGGATGAAATAATGAGGATACTGTGGTTTCTGAAAGGGATTTCTGTGTATATCTCTTTTTCAAGTAAATATTGGGGGATGCAGATTCTTAGTGCTCTTAAAAAGAATCCTATAAGTATTCCAGATTTTATTCTGTTGTAGTGTTGACAATAGACATTAGTAAGGTCATTCTTGCTGGCAGATTTCTATAAACTTCCAACCAAAAGGCATTATTAGTTTTATATAGCATGATATCTAGGAAGGGTAAAGTGTTGTTAGTCTTAGATTCAAAAGTAAAATCTATTGTATCTATGTATATGTATTCTCTTCATAGGTATTCTTTAAAAGTTTTATCAGAAATTTAAATTCAACATCAATTATCATCTGTCTCCTTGAATCCCATCCCTTTATTGTCCCCTGTTTCACTTTCAGTAACCCCCCTTGAACGACTGTGGCTTTTATCACCTTGCTTGGGGTGAAATGTTTAAAACAAAACTTTCTAACTTGAATAATAAAGCAATTTCCAGTTCAATTTACAACTTTATAGTGTGGGGCCCACATTCTTGCTCACTCCAATATTTTTGATCCAACTTTTTCTATTTTGGTGCCAATTATAAAAGATGAAGTGAAAATCATATCAACATTGAAAGAGAAAAAGATTATTAATTGCTGGATAAACTAATAGTTTTATCTTTTAAAAAGGATATTTTTATTAAATATTTTTATATAAAAATAATATTTTTACAGCAGTCTATGAACAAGAAAAGATTTTTAAAGAAGTTTTCTTGAATTTAACCAAGTAAATTAATATAAAGCCTCAAGCCACATAAACTTCCTTGCTTACTTTCTAAATACAGTTATAAACACAAAGCATTAAATTTACTTTGGTTTAATATTTAATGAAGATATACTCTTTTTCTATATGCTGTGTCCCTTTGGGATGTAGACAATCATGACTCTCCACAGCTTCCTGTCCTTTGTAACCTTTAGAAAAGTCTGTTTTTTATGCTATCTCTCCACAACCCTGTTCTGTCATCCATTTACACAAACTCAGGTAAGTTATGCTCTGTTTTCACCTGTCCCTATTTCCATCAATATATCCTGTGAGTGTCAAATTTTATAAGCCCTGCTTCCTCATTATGTGTCCTAGAAATTTCAACTTTCTCTTTCTAATGCTACATATAAGTGTCCTTTTTGTTTTCGTTTTCTCTAAAACATTATCTTTGCTCACGCGTTCAATCTATGGCATTCTCAGCATCTTTTTGTAGAACCACATTTTTGTTGCTTCAAGCTTCCCCTTCATCTATGATGAGATGGTCCAGCATTCACTGCCATAGAGGAGTACCAATATTACTTACTAGTTCAGTACTGTTTTCATTGTTTTCAATTAAATTTTCCTTTTTCTTAATACATTGTTTAAATATTGGAAGACATCTTTTGCTATTCCAATGCATCTTTAGACTTCAATGTTTCATCTTCCATCCTCTGTTAAACACTTCCTAGGTATTTAAAGTATTTGTAATTTGCATGTTAGGCTGTTCCTTTTGCTGACAATCATACATTCTATCTTTTCTTACAGTGTGCCTGTTGTTTCCTTTTTGTGTCTGCTATAAACACTGTGTCATCTGCATATCTAATGTTGTTATGGTTGTGGCTGCCAATACTAAAATCCTTAAGAGAAATAAGAACCTTAAAATTCAAAATACCTTTTTCTCAAGTATGGAATTGGAGATTCTCTAGTCAAACATTTTGTTTGAACCACCTGTAGGCCTCTATCATGATAAATACTCAATTATGATGCAAAGGGTAATGTAAAGTATAGGTCATTCATAACTTCAAAAATGTATAGTAACTATCATATAGAGAAAAATGCCTATTAATTCTTTTTTTTTCTTCTTTCAAACTCAGTAACCCCTTGTGTCATAGTGGCTTTATTGACTTGTATGGGGTGAAATGATTAAAAATAAAATTATACAATCACATTACATTAAGTGTTCAAAACAATACAGTAATTCTTATATCATTAGAAATTTGAAGATAAGCACATACAATTAGGCTATAATAAATAGGTCTTACCTTGGCACAGTCAAACATCCGGAGGTCAGAAAACATTGTCATAGCCTTTTGTTCTTGACCAGTTTTCTTGTAAAGTTTAGCTGCTTCTTGAAACTTGCCTTGCTGGGCATATATATCAGCTAAAAAGACAACATTGTCATTTTCACCCCGTTTCCGTCTGTCCTGTGTTAAAAAAGAGATTGTTTGAAAATGAATTTTACAAATAGAAAAGGAATTTTAATTATTATTGATGTAGACTGCAATAGAAATCTAAAAACAACTTCATTAGACAATATTCAAAGGATATTTAACTTAAAAAAAACTTGGGAATATATCTGAATTTATTAGATTTTTTTCAATATACATCATAATCGTTTCCTATAAAATGACAGCTACATGGGTTTTATAGAAGGCTTATATATAAATGCAGTAAAAAAAAATTAAAAAAACACAAATTTTCAAAACATATATGGTTTGTCTAGAATGTATCCAACCATTTTAAATATTTCAAGAACTGATTGTGCAGCTCTGATATAACTTGGTAATCATGCTGAATGGACCGTATTACCCATGTATGAACACGCACTATGCTGTTAGGTGACACAGCCAGAAGTGAATCATATTGAGTAAGCTTGTGTACTATGTAACCCTCACAATTTTTCATGCCTCAAGCAGGATTTTAGCAGAACATGATATCACACAAGTCTGTCGCCCTCCCACCACAGTCGAGATTTGTCTTCTTGCAGCTTCTACCTTTTCCCCAAGACTAAAATTGCAATTGAAATGCTGTGGATGAGATTGAGAAGAGTACAACAAAGCAGCTTCCTACAGAAGACTGCTTTGTAAAGAGGAAGGGTTGCTGGGTGAAGTACACAAGGGAAAATATATTGAAGGAGCTAAAGTGTCATTTCACTAATATTAAGTGATTGGATATTCTCCTGACAGACCTCATATATGTGTTTGCAACTATGTCCATACTTTGTAATTTTAAGAAGTCTCCATATATGTACAAGGGGATGCTGAAAAGTTCTTGGTCTGACCAAGAAGCACTTTCAAAAAAATCTGATGCTTGGTCATGTGGTCAGGTTTTGGGAAGTGAATTAAACCAAAAGCTTTTTCTGCAAACTCTTGTAACTTGAGTGGGGTTTCTTGATCCTTTGTTTCTTAGTTGCTCGCATATATATTCTTAATTGAAAATGTTTTACTTAGTAGCTAAAAATTATTTTGTGCTAGAAATTTTATGTAGACACTACATTTGTAATTGCAAAACTGTTCAAAGAAATTGAAAAAATTGACAGGATAAGAACAAAAAGAAAAACTAACTTCAAGAATTTCATAGAAAGGTGTCTGAGAAAAAAATCAAAAGTATAATAAAAAAAAATGAATTGAACAGCAAAAATTATTTAAAGAAACTGGGCTTACACATGTATACAGCAAGAAAAGATGTAGAATATTAAGAAGATTGGCTAAGGACATGAAAGCAGTTGAACTACCACCTTTAAGTAAACAGCACAAAGAGAAACATGCAGCCTAAAATATAAAAACAACATTAATAAAACTATTAATATCATTAAAAAAATGGTAATAACATATTTGGTTTTGTTTTGTGTTGTATGTTTAACAGTACATCAGCTTCTTATGGGTCATTTAATGTTGAAATTTTATTTTCTTGTGAGCTTTGGTAATTTTTTTTTCCGACAATGTATTGCTGGTAACTTTTAATTTTTTTTTTTTACTATGAAAATGTATTGCTGGTAATCTTTTCTAATGTACTTTTATATTTTAATATTTTGACCCCAGTTTGGGTGTTCACTATTTCGCCATAGGTAAGACTCAGGGTAGACCTGGGAACAGCAGCAATTAAGAAGTGGTTCCACACTCCTCAAAACCCCTAGATCAAAGGCCTTATTGCCAGATGTAGTTTATTGTCATAGTAAGGATGAATAATAACATATTAATATGCAACAAGAATTTAGTTTCCACCTCTTCTAAGTTTTTCATAATTACTTTTTGAAATTGTCTAAAGACTTTGTGTACACCCTGTATAGTGAAAGAGAGACAGAGAGGAAAAACTAAAGAAAACCCTTTTTGTTTATAAAGAGTTAACATATCACTAAGAGGCTAAAAATGAGGAAGAACACTTTCAATGGACAATGTAATTTTCATAAAAGTTACTGAACTAGCTATCGGCTCAGCAACAGGCACTTAAGACCACCTTGAAATCCCGAGTTGTTAAAATATCAAATTACCAAAAAGAATCTTGAAAAAATGTCATTTAAATATTTAGTATTTTTTTTTTTTTATCAAAGAATTGACTGCAAAATCAACAAGGGGGCAATTTATCAAAGTTTAAAATGGACAACTAGAGGATAATTTGAAATAATTTAAATTTTCTATCATCACTTTGTTTTTTGCAATTTGTTATCAGGCCCCAGAATCGCTGTAATAAGGTGAATTCTCTGTGCTGTAAGGCATGGGCAATGATTAATCATACTAATTCTCAATTTCAAGGCACTCGGGTTGGACCAGTCAGTATGGTTAGATTGGTTAGTAAAGTTAGATTGATTCTCAATGCAATCAGAATTATTGTTCCTGGTCCTCAGAGAAGCATATCCTGGTTGTCGCAGAACACCCAAGCTGATATCATTGCACTTGATGATATAAAACATTTTTTGACATGCCCAGGTTGCAACAATCATAGAACACTATTTCATGTTTCCTCAGTCTAATTGTTCAACTGAATATCCCACTGTGATTATGAGATAAAAGTGTTTTCTTCTTTATTCTGAGTATCAAGCCTTCTTTCAAGATTCTCTCTCTATGCTATTGTTGTATTGTGTTGTTCTACAACACATGATCAGTAGTCAACTTTCGCCTGTTTTTTCAATACCATACATATTATTTCTCTTCTATTTAATATATGCAAATAGGTACAATTCTATTTACCAATCCACTACACCTCCCTGCATTTGGTTGTTCTTGAACTTCTTCTATAACCTCTTTCCTCCTCTCCTCCTTCAGGTTTATGTCCTGTTCTTTTTAATGGAGATCTTAGTCTCATTTAATTTTCTTCCATGTCTGTCACTCCCATTATCATCCACATGCTCGTCTTCTATTGCATTATCCTGATCTGAAGAACTCATCCTTTCTTTTCTGCCAAGTTCTTCCTCCATCACAATGTCTTCCTCTTCAATTCTGGATCTTAATTGGTCAGAATGGGCCATTAGGCTTTTTCCTTTCATTGATATAATGGCCATGTTATGTCCCCTTTGCATGACTTTGATTTCTAATACCAAATCTTTTCATTTGTTGAGTAAGACATTGTTAATGGAGATCTTATTTGTCTTCCCATTAACACAGATGGGCATTGCAATCTATCTGCATGTGGAATCATCTTATGGCTAAGCATTAACCTTGGAAAGTAACTGTATCTCTACTTGAGGAAAATGCTTTTAATCTCATTTTTACTATCTGCACCATTCTTTTTGAATTCCCATTAGATTGTGCATGATACGGTGATATTTTGTAAGGGAAGCAGCCAATCCACCTCAAACAATTACATGGATCTTTATCACAAAATTCTGGTGCGTTGTCTGATACTAATGTTTTAGGGACCCCATTTCTAGAAAATGCCACTCTTAGTATTTGTTTTATTGTAATTGTTTTTCTATCTTTAACATTAATAGACTTTAGGCCATCCAGAGAAGCAGTCTACTAAAATTAGAAATAGTCCCATACCATTAATGCGTGCATGGTCCATATGAACATGAGACCATGGTTATGTTTTTTTAGGTCCTGATTGTAGACTCCTTTGTCGAAAATTCTTTATTTCTGCACATTTTGAGTATTTGTGTACATATATTTCTGTATCACAATAATACCCTGGCCATCATGCCTCCAATTTTAATCTCCTGTGTAGCCATTATCCCACAATACACATCATCTTGTACACTTTTTAAAATATCTCTTCTTACTGTTTCTGGTGGTACTATTTCATCTCTATTGCATATAACACTGTTTTCCATCATTAATTTATGCCTTATTTCTTTATAAGGTCTTTTAGCTTTGTGGTAGCAAAGGCATCTTCTGAAACACTGAAGGTATTATAAGGTAACAATCACTGCCTGCCTTTAGTGAGGCAAACTCCAGCAGACAATATAGAGAAGTGAATGACACAGGAAATAAGCTGATTATATTGATTTACTTTAGTATGTGAGTCATGCCAGGTAATACAAGAGGCCTGAAATGAATTTAATGTCCATCAGGAACCTTTGATCACCAGTGGTGACACAAATATGTATTGGGCTCACCCTAAGAGATATCAAAGTAAGCTTGGTGTCATCTCAGAACCTCAAAAGACCAATGTACCTCAGGAATTGACCTACATAGTGACCACATCACCATCAAGTTCAGAATCAGGCCTCATAAGATGTCAGTGGCTATGTCAACATAAAATAGAGAGTTAACCCAACTGAATTTAGGATATATACACACAAGACAACAAAATGACATGAAGTTTTATAAATACCTGAGCTATGAGGGACAAAGGAGTATCTGTTACATCCTCATGAAAAGATCAAATGGTCAAAGGAAGTTTTTTTTTTCCTGAAAAACCATATACTTTCACTAATGATGTTAATTTGACTGAGTTCAGAAGTAAATAAGCAATAATTTTACATATGAAAAATTTAGTCTTATATTCTTATCAGACATTAATAGTATAACTTTTCAGTTCTAGCAAACCAATTTATACTCCCTAATTCCAAACACTAATAAATATCTTTTCTTTCACTTTTGGATGTGAAGGTGGTGTAACAACTAGTGGCTTGGAATAAGAAAACAGAAAGCCGAGTTTGAATTCCAGTTGAGTTCTTTACATTTACTTATTTGCAAATACACTTGGGAAAAGTATAAATCCATCTCTCTCTCCCCAGCTTTGGATTAAATAGCAGAGCAAACAGGACTCTTCAGACTGGATTCACAACCAATCTAGGAGAAGGGTAAATCTGAATTTAAAAACCCTTTGTAGCCCAGCAAAACACATAGTATGCAGCAAATGAAAGGATCGTAGAGCTCACAATAATTCTATGATCCCAACTGCAGTCAGTGTTGGTTGATGGTTAGTTAATTCAATTTTTAATATTCTTCTCTGCCATTAATATAAAAGCCTGACAGTGGCATAAAACTAATTCTTTGCTTAATATTTCCAGTAAACAAAATTCATTTTTTTAATTTTATCATATTCTTGTAAATTTTTTTGTATTTAAAAAAACTTTCTTTTCTCCTAGTTTTTAATCATTATCTTAAACAAAGCAGCAACTTAAAAATTGTCATGTAATGATAATTTGATAGGGAAGCTGGTTAGGATTTATTCAGACATGGATTCTTTCAGCTTAAAGGCTTTGCAAGAATTTTTCATTTATTGCAAATTCAAATGTCTGACTTTGCCGCCGCCAAGAATTCCATTCAAGTAGATGAACACTTCAAAAGGAAAATAATAGACTAATAGATCAGGTTGATCCCCAACAATAAGAAACCAAATTTACTATCTTCTTTTATGTGTCATGTCCCTTCAGGACATTGACAATCATGACTCTCCACAATTTTTTGTCCTTCGTAGCAGTGACTTCAAATAAAAAAGAAAAGAAAACAGTTAACTGGGTTATTTATATTTTTGGTTTTGTTTTTTCATTTACAAGAAAAATCCCCAAAAGGTACTAGCACTTAAGGAGGAGGAGGATCACATGATGTTATGTCCCTTCAGGACAGGATACAAGTGATCATGAGTCTCCACCTATTCCTTTTCTTTATTATCTACAAATTGCCATGTATCCTCAAGAAAAAGGTGGAATGATTTCCCCTTCCTTTCGTTATGGCTTGGGATTCAGAGTTTTCTTTTCTTAGACTGGCTTCCACCCAAGGTTAGAGAGACAAGTCTACTTTGCTATTTAACCCTTAGCTGGGGCAGAAGTTGAGATGGATTCCTGCTTTTTCCAAGGTCATTTTTGCAAGGGTGACTGCAAAGATAAGCCCAGAATTTGAACTCTGCCCATTGATTGTACTTTCCACACCAATATCCATCGTGCTACTTGCACATCCTTTTACAGAAATTAAGAAAAAGAAATAAATCTTACTGTCTTATTTTCATGTCACTCAAATACAAATGCATATTCTCACTTAATTATTGCCTCTTTGAAAACAATTTATTGAAGGGAAAAATATTGTGTGTCATGCGTCTTTTCCAGATATAATTAATAATAAATATGGTCACATTATTCACTTTGACACATAGATATGCAAACAAAGTCATTTTAATTTTAATTCAAATATATCTAATGGCAATGTATCTATGAGGGGATTTTCAAAAGTTTTTGGCACAACCAAGAAGAAATTGCAATATTCCAAATTCTGATGTTTGATCATTATGCCAGATATGTAAATGACTGGATATGTATCATTAACATTTATGGATGTTGGATGCACTAATGTGAGACTGAATCACTGAATATTCACTTTCATTTGTTTTTAAAGAAATCAAGGAATAATATGATATTTCATTTAAGTGCGAGTGCTTCACTTAATCCAAATTTCATTTTGATACAACCCTAAAAGAAAGAGACCATCCTTATATAAAACGTTAGTTCCTCACATATGATCCAAACTTTGAAAAATATATGTAATATAAAAAAAAAATAAAAGAATATGTACAACCCTATTATCAGTAAATTGGATGCAACATGCTTTTTGAAAATGTGAATTTGAATTGAAAACTCTGTATTACATGCTGAAAAATATGGCAATTTTTTTTCTTGTGTTATATATAAATTCATGTGACTGTTGCAAAAATAGCAGTGCCTCCAATAGAGCCTTGATCAGATGATGTCTCTGGCTTCAGGCAGGGTTTCAAGGCCACAGTGTCATAATCACTAATGCTTACTACTCATGCAATACCTTAAAATACCATCAGGATTTTTTGGTTCTCTATCACAAATGGGGGAAATACCAAATGCAAACAGATGCAATCTTTGCTCCAATCTTGAATCCTATCTTCTTTGATATCAGCCAGAGAATCAATTACACATATCAAGGCTGAAGTAGAAATGATAATCCAGCTTGTGATTAACAACAGGTTAAACATCAGCTGTAAGTCCATTTTCCCAACAGAACAAAATAATAAGCAAAAATAATGGTCTAGTCAATAGTGAATGTTATATAAATATCCATGTTATATATATATATATATATATATATATATATATATATATATACAGTAGCGTCCAAAACTAAGGGACAAAATTTTAAAACCTAATATTTGTTAGAAATAACAACTGTGAAAAGCTGAAATTTTGACAACTGGTAGTCGTTATCATCCATAATAACATACTAAAATTTGAATCATTTGCAAAGGATAGAAAAAGAATTATAACAATTATTTATTTATTTTCAAAATAGGATCGTCCAAAAGTAAGGGACAAAATTGAGAAAAACAATGTAAACGGTAAAAAAACAATAAAAATACAAAATATACATAGGTTGAACATCTTAGGCTGTCCTCGTCATTTCATAGATATCATCCATTTGTTTCATGATGACATAGTATGAAATGTTGACAATGTGACCTTGTATCACCTACATTGTTCTCCATTTGGTTTTTTCTCCTTTATGAATTGTGACCAGGGTATATATATATATATATATATATATATATATATATATATATATATATATATATATTCAATATTGCACAACTGGTTAGCTATTCAACATCAGATACTTCTCTGCTAAATTTAATACATTCCAAGCTCTTGTCCAAGATCTGTATTCCAATGACTGTGACTTGATCACCCAGACAGAACAGGAAATGCAGATTTTGATGGATAATTTTTCCTGTTACTGCAAAGCTTTTGGACTGGACAAGACAATGGTCATGTTTCACCTTTTTCTGGATTTACCTTGCATCAAACCATCAAAGATTAATTCCTTCTATTGCTAAAAGCATTTGTGGAAAAGTGAACACAACAGACTAGGCAGGAATTTGAACTTTGCTTGGTGCTTCCACTTTTTGTTTCGATGACCATTCCACTACTCACCCATCCCCTGCTGCTATTACTAAATTCCACTTACTACCAATTAGTACCTACTTGATGGCATCAACTAGTTATTAAGTAATTAATTTCCATAATAGTAAGTAATAACTTATCCCAATAACCAGAATTTGTAGCATAAAATCAAGACTAAAGAAGATGAAGAATACTTTAACTTACTTCAATGTTGTTGATTAGTTCCAAATAATGGTAATCTCTAGTGCGGATGAAAGCCTCTTTTGCTGTCTTCAGATCCAAAGTTTCTAGAGCCTGTCGTCCCAAAGCATTCCAATCAGAATCTGTCACACCAAGACAAGCAATTTTGGATGCTTCTCTTAAATGTTTTTAAAAAAAATAATAATAAAATATATTTAATCTACATAGAAAAAGGGTGATTTCTATTTGTTTAAAAATCTGCAATTGTTCTGCCGCAAAGAGAAGTACAAGGAAGGTAAAGTTTTTAATATCTGATAACCAAAGTTCTATCAGTTATCTGTCTCTCTGTTTTTAAAACTGATGTTTTTAGAATTTCAGGTAAAATGTTCAAATCTACATCCATATCTAAAGCTGATTTGGCTGCTAGGTCTGCTTTTATTGTTACCTTCCTTCAACTCCAATGTGGCTAGGAATCCAACATAGTTTGATGTTTTTATGTTTGCAGTAGTAGTGCTCATTTTGCATAATAGTTTGATAATGAGTGGGTTGTTGATTTTTTTTTTTCCTTCAAAGCCATTAGGACAGATAGTGAGTCAAAAAAAATTAAAAAATTTTTTTTTTGCTCTGTGTAATGATATTGAGAGCTAGCTCTATTGCATAAACCTCCTCAGTAGATAAAAAATAGAACTTCCCTTGGGAGGGTGCTTTTTTTTTTTGTAATATTTTGGCTCACTGCTGCACATCCTGTCTTGTCCTCACACTTTGACCCATCTGTATAGATGGGTGTATGGTAAGGTAGTTTTCCAATATGCCCTGAAACATGTCTTGGAATATGAGTGGGTATATTTTGTATTTAGGGAGTTTATTTAATTCAAGCAAGACTTTGGGTTGCTTGATTGTCCATGGTGGAATACTGGCTGCAGTCATTTCTTGTATGTTTGAAAGTGAGGTCCCTAACTCTTCAGCAATGGATTTCAAGTCCATAGGGTTGTATTATATTGTCTTTTTGTTGGAATAGATCACAGTAATCAGGTTCAAAGGTACTGTTGTAAGCTGGGTTAGTTGGGCATGATTTTATTTTGACATAGTACTGTAGTGCCAGTTTAGTGCGCCTTAAATGTGGAGGTGTTTCATTAGCTTCTGTGTATAAGCTCTCCACTGGGGATGTCCTAAAAGCCCCAAGTACTAGTCTGAGGCCTTGATGATAGGTTGCGTTGAGTATTTTTAGGTATGATTTTCTGGCTTCCCCATATATGAAACTAGCATAATCCAGTTTTGAGCAAAGTAGTGATCTCTACAATTTAATTAATTTCTGTCAATCTGCCCTCCATTCAGTATAGGCTACCGCATGTAGAAGTTGGAGGACTTTAGGACATTTTATTTTTAAATATTTTAGATGAGGAATGAATGTTTATTTTTTTGTCAAAAATGATGCCTATGAACTTGTGTTGTTCCACTACTGGGATGTCTGATCCATCTAATTTTAAACATGGGTCATTATGCAACTTTCTTAATTTGCAAAAATGTAGACATTTGGTTTTCATTTTGGAAAAGGTAAAACTATTTTCAGTGGCCCATTTGTGTATTTTATTGAGGCATTGTTGGAGTTGTCTTTCTAGGATATGCATATGTCAAGATCTGTACATTATTAGAAAGTTGTCAAAATATAGGAAGCATTTCACGCCTGGGCTTAGGGATTTAACTATGGAGTAAATTTTTATACAGAATATTATTACCAAAAGAATACTTTCTTGTAGAACTCCTTCTTGATTTTGCTGTTCTGATAGTATACTTCCTATATGGATTTGAAATCTTCTGTCTTCCAGGAAATTTTTTATGAATTGAGACAGCCTTCCTTTCATGCAGGTGTTTCAAGAAACCAAATTTACATGTCATGTCATATGCCTTTTGTAAGTCAAAAAAGACTGCCTTGAGATGTTCCTTTTTAATGAAGGCTTCCCTTACAAAGGTTTCTATGCATATTAAGCCATCCATGGTGCTTCTTATTTTTCATAAAAGCACATTGGAAGTCACTGATTAAGCCTTTAGTTTTCAGATACCAAGTCAAACTGTTGTTGACCATTCTCTCCATAGTTTCACAGAGGCAACTGGTTGATGCTATTGATCTGTAGTTTTCAGGCTCTGTGTTATCCTTTCCAGGTTTGGGGATAGGAATGATGAATGACACATTTCTGGCAAGTTGCTATTTGTCCTTATGTTATTATACATTTTTAATAACAGTTGTAATGATTAATTCACTATTTTATGAATTTGTAGTGGATATCATCTTTAAAGGTTCATTTAGTCCCTCCATAGTGAATGGTAGGTTATAGCTCTCAGCATGATTTTATTTAAAATTTAGTTTTCATTTTTCCGCTCTTTGTTTGAACTTTCAAAATTGTTGGCTACCATTCTTGACAGGTTAATTTTTAGAGATTATTTTGCTAGTTAGTCAGTGATATCCTTTTTGCTGGTTATTTTAGAGTTATTTATCAAAAGGTGTTTACATTATGTGTTTGATATTTTCCTGCTATTTTCTTTATTATATTCCAGACAGATTTTTTTTTGTAGCAGAATTGAGTCTGTTGATATAGTTTTTTCCAGCATTCTTTTTTGGTTTTTTTTTATTTTTTCATTTTTTGCTCAGAGTTGCTTAAATTGAAAAGCAAATTAGAGGTTGTAGGTTGTTTGTTGAATTCTCTCAGAGCTGCTCTTCTTAGCCTGATGGTTTTTTTTTTACATTTATCATTGAACCAAGGTCTGTTTTTTTTTTTTTTGGTGCTGAATTTTTGGAATGCATTTTTTTTTTATAGAGATGAGAGATTTTTGTGAAATTTTTTTAAGTCCCTTTTTTTTTCCTTCAACTAGTTTTTCAGAACATTGTTTTTAAATTTTTCCCAGTTTGCTCTGCCTAATTTCCAATGGAGAGGATTTTTTCATTATGTTCTGAGTTTTGTAGGATGATTGGCAAGTGATTGCTACTGCATGTGTCTGCCAGTACCTTCCAAGAGAAATCCATATAAATTGATGGATCACATAGGGATAAGTCTATTGCTGAGTAGCTGCCAGAAAATGGATTTATGTAAGTCGGGGTTTTATCATTATAAATGCATAAATTGTTGTTATAAATTATTGTTTCTTAAGGTCCTTTTTTGTTTTGTCTTTACAACCCCATATGGTGCTGTGACAGTTAAAGTCCCCTAGTATCATAAAAGGGGCAGGGAGTTGTTGCCTTATGATTTCATGAATTTTAGCTTCATTTACTGGTTCATTTGGTGGGATATATACTGAGCAGATGTTTATTGGCCTGTGTAAGGTCACTTTAAACAGCAGTCACCTGTAAAGTAGTTGTTAAATTAAATTTATTTTTTTTGAGGTACATCATTCCTAACTAGGATGGATGTACTGCCTGATGCTCAAGCCCAGTGTCATCATGTGTGTAGTTGTATTGATGGTATTCTTTTTTATATTCAGTTTGTCATTTTTTTTAAGGAAATTTTTCCTGAAGGCAAACAACTGCTGGTGACAGGTCTGTTATTAGCAGAAGCAGTTCATTTTATGTTTGCCTTTATTCTGCAGCAGTTCCATTGAATTATTTGATACATGATTGCTAAATGTTTTGGGGTTTTTTTAGTATTTGTATGTGGTTGTGATTTAATTTTCTGAGGTTTTGAGTTTGGAGGTTTTGGCCATTTGTGGGTTTTGGCTTTCCACCTCCATTTTTCCAGTTTGTCAAATCAAATTTTTTGGGTAGGAATTTGGTCACTGTGAATTTCTGGTTTTTGTTTGGCTGGTTCTTTTTTTTTTTTTTTGGGAGATAAGTTCTTAAGTCTATCTTTGATGGTTTTTTGGTGGATGGATAGGAGAGCTGTGACCTTTGCTTTTGTAGGAGATTTTTATTTTTTTCCCTTTTTTTCCACAGGAGTGGTTTGTGTTTGATGGTAGATTTTGTATTTTTTTTTTTTTTATTTATTATTTCAATTCTTTCATTGGCTTTCTTTTGTGGTTCAGTCTGCACTATTTCCTTGGAGTATATGTAAATTTTTCAGGTAGTTTTGAAATTTGGGCCAGTCATTTGGTCCCTAAGTGTACAAGCTTCTCAATGAGGGCTCTGTATTTGTCAGGTTGACTGGTATTCATTGTGGTTTTTTTTGCATTATTTTTGCATAGGAAGGGCATTTTTCATGTAGCTTTCTACAATTTGCTTTTTGCTCATATGAATGAGACATTTCATTTATGTTTCACCTTGACTATCTATCTTCTTTTCCTTTTCCAGAAGTTGCATGATCATGAGTATGCTGGATGGTTTTCCTGGCATTTAGCACATCTTATTTCATAGTGGCATTCTTTTCTGTGTGGCCTGAATCCCTTTGGCCACATTTCCCACATGTTGGGTGACTCCTGCAGCTATCTCTATGATGCCCAAATTTTTTTGGCACTTGAAGAACCTTAGTGGAGCAGGAATATATTGTTCCACTGGCTCAATGTTGTACCAGACTTTTATTTTTTCTAGGGATTTGAGGTGTGACAAAAGTAAGGATATATGTGTCTGTGTTGTTATGGTTTCCTTTTAAATTTTTTTTATTGTGATTCTATGGTAATCACTGACCCCCTGGCTTCCTAAGGCAGATATAATTTCCTCAGGTGTGGCCAGAGACAACTCTCTGCTTCTAATGACTCTTAGAAGTATTCAGTCTTTCATGGGGAAAGGTTTTTATTTTGATGTTATAAAAAAAAGTCTTCATCTTGATTAAATTTTTGGTGTGTTTTCTATTTTCCACTTCTACAGAAAATGGCAGTTTCTCAATTTCTTAACTGTATTCGGGTTAATCCTACTGGATAGCACTTTTTCAATCAAGAAAGGGGAAAGTTTTGCTAGAGGAATTTCATCTAGGGACACAAGCACAAGAAATCTTGGAAATTTAGTACTCTTTCTTTTTCAGAATCAGAGTCTGAAAGATATCTTTTGAGTACACACACATATTATTTTTTTTTTATTTTGATTATTCATAATTTTGATGTAGAAAAATTCACTGCCTGTGCTCCCCAGATGAGGTTAATATGTGTTTTAGGTTTCTAGATTGGCGTTTGCTCTTAATTATTTTGGTTGTTTTTTAGTATATTATTCAGTTTATTATTCTTGCTAAGTAAATCTAGATTTTTGTGATTTCTGGGAATATTTCTGGGTTGTTTTTTGTTTATACGTTGAGACATATGCTAGAGTTTGTTCGACGTTACGTTTCTTTTTATTTCTAAGTTGGTCTAGAGGAATTTCTTCATGAAGTTCAATACCTTTTGTTTACTAGTGTTGTGGGGTAGCCTCGTTTCTTGAGAGTTTTATGTAGTTCTTCTAAGCGGATTTTTCGGAGATGTTTATCAGTCACTATTGTACAAATTCTACGTGCTAGGGAATAGGGGATGGATTTTTAGGCAGCTTTTTGGGTGATGGCTCTTGAAATGAACGTATTGTTGGGTGTCTGTGGGTTTGTGGTAGATATCTGTGATTATGTGGTTGTTTTTATTTCTAATGAGTATATCTAAAATGGTAATTCGTTAAAATTATATTCTTGCGTGAATTTGATTTTTGGGTGTAAGTTTTGAAGTAGTGTATGGAATTGGTTAATATCACCCCATGATGATTTCCAAAAAGATGAAGCAATCATCTAGATATCTTTTCCAAGATTTAGTGAATTGGGTCTTTATATTTGTCCCATATATTTGTTCTATCTTTTCATAGAGGTTTTCTTCTAGGTAAGCTAATGTTAGGGTGGCATATGTTGGTGCCATTTTTGTTATATCGCAGTACCTAGGGTTTGGATATAGTTTTTTGTTGTCAAATTCAAAGGTGTTATTGTTTAGAATTAGGTCTATACTATCGATAATGAACTCTTTAGTGAATCTCGGATGTAGTATTTCTGGATGTTTTTCAATCCAGAATGAGATCGCTTTTTTCCCTAGTTCATGGGGTATGTTACTGTATAGGCTACTGATGTCAAAAGTTGCCATAAGCGTTCCCGGATCTACCTTTTGTGGTATGCAGCTAAGGAAATGGATATCGTCTCTGATGTGGCTTTTTAATTTGTTTAGTATATGGTTGCAATATTATGTCTATTAGGTTACTGAGTTTGCTAGTGGGACAGACTGGTCCTAATTGTTTTATGACCCTTCACGCAGAACTCTTCATTGACAATTCTAGAAAGAAAATTCAGATTGCCAACACACAAACAGAATGTCTCATATCGAGAATATTCCACATTGAACATGAAGAAAAATTAATTATTTTTAATAATATGTAAAATCTCCACTTTCACCTGAAGACGGTTAAGTGAGACCAGACCAGAAACACGTGTCGTGAAATTATGTAAAACAAAAGTATAATATTTTTCTCAATAAATCCACATTACAACCAAAAACGTTTGCGGCACCCCTCTTTTTTTTAATATATATATATATATATATATATATATATATATATATATATATATGTATGTATGTATGTATGTATATGGTGCAATTGGGAAATTATTGCTATTTTATATTTTTAATTTTGTGCATGCACATCATTTGTTTTTGTCAACTGCACAGTTTAGTAGAATCTGTTGGTCACAGTTTATGAGAAAAAGAGCACCATGACCCAATTCACTCTGCCAGAAATTTGGAAATAGCATACTATACAACTTGGCATTTGTGCCAGTTTGGGTGTCAATCTGAAGACAGTGCAGAATATTCAGAAAGAGTTGAATGAGTCTAATTGTGATTATGAAGGTACAGCAGCTTGGAAAACTCACTCTGATCATTTGATAAGAAAAGAACTCCCAAGTTTGTTGGTGATTGCTTCAGATTCAACACAGAGGCCTACATCAAGTGCTTTGAGGAAGTAGTGTTGTCCTGAGTCAAGTAGGTGTCTGCTGGAAGACCCTATGTTTGGCAACAGGACTCTGCACCATGCCACACAAGCAGGAGAACCCAATCAGAGCTGTCAGACAATTTCTGTGACCACACCACTCCTTACATCTGGCCACCTAACTCCCCAGACTGCAACCCAATTGATTATTATGTGTGGGGCACAGTTGAGAGAGAGATCAACAAAACTCCTTGTAACACCAAAGATGAACTGAAGGCAAGGATTATGACAGCATTAACTATCTTAAACAAAGAAACCATCCAGAAGAATTGCAGGAGATTCCAGAGTTGTCTGGAGGCCGTTGTTGAAGCCAATGGTGATTTTATTGAATAAATTTACTCTTTAGTATTTCATATTTGTGTGTAATTTTGGTAAATATATATCTGTTAAAATTTGCATAATTTAGACAACAACTTATCCATCATACCCTGTGTATGCGTATATATATATATATATATATATATATATATATATATACACTTGTATGTATGTACACACACATACACGTGGCTACTTACAAGAAGAGCTTCTTCTCCAAGTATTGATACATGGAGGCAGACTGAGGAACATCAACTGACATGATGGAGTTCATTTTCAGACAAAATATCCTGGATCCACTGAAACCAACAACAAATCCCTGAAAAATAGAATTAAAAGAAACTTTAAATAAATCAAACCATAGATCTTGTTTTTAACAAGTAAATACACATAGCAAGAAATTATCAATTATATCTGGAAAAGAAGCATGACACACAATATTTTTCCCTTCAATAAATTGTTTTCAAAGAGGTAATAATTAAGTGAGAATATGCATTTGTATTTGAGTGACATGAAAATAAGACAATAAGATTTATTTCTTTTTCTTAATTTCTGTAAAAGGATGTGCAAGTAGCACAATGGATATTGGTGTGGAAAGTACAATCAATGGGCAGAGTTCAAATTCTGGGCTGGATTTTCTAGCAGGACAATGCTGCAATCCACAATGCTCTCCATATCAAAACCCAATTGAGAATGTTTGGGGATTAGATGCCAAAGGATGTTTATAAACATGGATCACAATTTGAAACTGTGAATGCTCTTCGTGCTGCAGTTTATGCATCCTGGACGAGCATCCCAAGAACCCTCATGCAGAAGTTAATAATGAGTATGCCAAAGTGAATTTTCGGAGTAATTCACAAAAATGGAGGATGTACTGAGAATTAAATTGTCGTTGTGACTTATTTGTTCTGTATTTGCTATTTTTATTTACATGGTCTTATCTTTATGACCAACTAAAAAAATACTTTTTTCAATGTTTCTTTAAATTAATCAATTAAAAGCTTAAAATGTTCTCTTGTTTGTTGATAAACTACATTTTCTAATTAAATGTAAATGTTTCACAAATATATTTTGATTAAAGTAACAGTATTTTATATATTTTTAACCCTTTTGTATCTGGTCTTAAGATTTTGATCAGCGGTGTATATTACTTCAAACATTATCATATTAGATACCCATATTTGAAATAGATGCCACAAGCATAGAATGTGTAACCATTGAAGAATGGAAGAAAATCCCTGAAAAGACTTGTTCAAATAACATAAAAAACTTTATAACATGCTGCAATTGTTTTGTAAAGATGAGAGGCCATGCTATTGACTATTAATATTGTGAAAATTGTTCAATTTTTTCTATTTTTCATACTTTACAAATAATTTTATCTTTTCTTATTTTGCATAAATCACCTGTCAAATTTGTTGTATTTAACCAATTGTTCTAAAAATTGAGTTTTATATTCTTTTTATTGTGCTTATTAACATATAAAAAAACCTGGCATCATACAGGTATTAGATTCTGAGAAATGGATAAAAATATTCAAAATTCATGGTTGTACAAATAATTTCATCATTGACTGTATATATAGGAGAGAAACAGAATTCTGACTTCAATTTAACAACCATAAGAAAACCAACAGGGACAACAACAATAATTTCCCAGTCACAAATCACTTCAACGTACTACTTCATAATTTAGGTGACATCAGATACATGCTTTTCGTGTATTCATTTAACATTTAAGAGGTGAGATGTAGGTCAGAGTTGAAATTTATTTTCAAAATAAATTCAAACATTGAGAGATTATAAAGGGATTTAGGTTTCCTCAAAGAGTATAAATTCCACAAGCAGACCCCCCCCCAACCAACAACAGTCCTCAATAGAGTAAGTCTCACTTCTTCGTTTATTCTTCGCAACATTGAAAAAGAACACAGGTGTGTTTGAAAATTCCAATTTTAAAATTTATCTCTTCATGCTTTGTTTCAGTCAAAAGGTTAATATGTAATAAATATCAATTTTATTGGCAATATTGGTATCATTTTGTTGGCTATTTATCCTTCAAATTTCATTAACCAGCCTATTTAATTTACATCTTATAAAGATCACACGTGGACCACCTTTCATTTTAATCATATATATATATATATATATATATATATATATATATATATATATATATATATATATATAGGCATTCTAAATATAAACAAAATGAAAAAAATCCCCATAAATAATCTAATAATCTAAATAGTCTATTGGCATCATTCACACTAAAGCAAAATATTTTTCTTTCTTTATATAGTTTTATAAAGTTGTGTCTGACAAAATGTCAATACATATTTTCCTGAAGATAACTTTTAGTAAACTGTCAAAACATTTCAAGGGAAAAAGCAAGATCCTATGTAGAGATAAAACATAAAGTTTTCTCTTCAGCTTTTTAAAGCATATAGATTCCCGTCTATGATTCACTCAAAAATAAATATTGTTCTATCCCAATAATCAGCCCACCTAATGTAAGTACATCAAATAAATTCACATCAAATAGTCAACTAATTATTGAATAATATTACAAAGTAATTCCTTATATAAATAGATGGCTACATATTTTCTGAGTATACCTGTCTGCTAGGATGGCTAAATAATCCATGTTGCAGACACCTGTTCAGGTATATTTGTGTTTCTTCAACATCCATAGAGCCAATCTGTGGTTTATACTGCAACTATGCTAAGCAGACCATGGTTACATTTACAGAGTGAATAATCTGACATGATCAGTAGTTGAACAAGGTCAATACACTCAAACCCTCAGCCATGATGACTTATAATTTCCTGCTATCACAACTATCAATGGGTTCCAAACAGCTTTTTCTACTGGTTTTCTCTCACAAGGTTTGGGTCAAATTGTGATATGGTTTTTCAGGCACTTACCAATGGTGCTGCATGCCAAAATTAACTCAAACACACACCCATATAATATTATCAGTAGAAACTTGTAGGTCTTAGCAAGGAATATCCTTCTTTGAACCTTGTGGATTGACACTACAGAATTACAAAAAACTTTACCAAATAAAAGGAACCAAATCACTTGAGGACTTTTGACAACAGCAACAATAACTAAAATGGATAGCAGATGTAACTTGAAGAGAAGAAAATGACTTAATCAAGATGGTGACATTCCACACTACTTCAAATGAAAGGTTAGGAAGGGTAAAACCCCCATTAATATTGGAAAAAGTGATAACAGTGAACTTGAGAAACATTTTCCTGAAAGATTATTGTAAGGGAAAGATTAGATAAATTTAAATCGACAGCAAAGACTGTTGAATGTTTCCTTATAAGGAAACTGCTAATAATACCATTACTATTAGAAATAAAAACAAATACTACACAGCCTGATGACCAGGAGTGAAAAAAAGCGTAACACAAGTCATACCTGGCTGCGGTTCGGTCATAATGAATATATATATATATATATATATATATATATATATATATATATAAAGACTGACTCCATCAATAAAAATTATTATTATTCTGAGGAAGATTATCATCCTCATCTATAGGGGCTGTTTTACTCAGGAGAGGTATCTGCAAAGTATCATCCAGCTTTTGAACTAATCAAGAACAAGGATCACTTTGCACCCAAGATGTATAGGCAGTTGTCGCAGCATTACACCAAGCTACCTCACATAAGACCTCCCTAAGATTCACAAAGACGGTGTTCCGCTGACGCTGATTATTAGTTACCAAGGCACTCTGGGCCACCCTCTGAGTCACTTCCTTGTAGATATAATTGACCCACTGATCGGAAAGTCACCTTCATATGTCCGAAACTCTGCCCACTTCGTGGAAATAATCAAAGATGCCCCCATCCTATCCAACCAGATGGTGAGCTTGGACATAGTGAGTTTGTTCACCAAGGTGCTTACAGAGGAGGCGCTCAGAGTAGTCAGAGACAGATTGGCCTATGACTCATCCCTAGGAGAACGGACCAGTATTCCAATAGATAATCTGATGGAGATGTTGATTTTCTGTACACAAACAACACACTACAGAATGAGATCATACATATATCGACAGGATGAGGGCTTAGCAATGGGCTCGCCATTATCACCAGCAATGATGAATATATACATGGAATACTTTGAGGAACTGGCATTAGAATCTATTTCTCTAAGGCCAACGCTATAGTTAAGATATGTAGATTACACCTTCATACGCTGGCCACACCAGGAAGATGTCCAGATTCTACTTGACCATGTGAACTCAGTAAGACTTTCGATACAGTTCACAATGGAGAAAGAGAGTAACAACACACTCCCAATACCTGGATGTTCTAATATCTCAAACAGAGCATGGGCTCAAGACATCCATATACCGCAAACCAACATTCACTGGACAGTACCTCAATTTCAACTCCCACCATCCATACAGCGTAAAGAAAGGGATTGTCCACTGTTTACAACACCAAGCAAAAGTCATAAGTGGCGACCCAGAGATAGATAAAGAATTGGTCAGTATAAGCAGTACCCTACAATGTAACAACTACCCTGGGTGCATGGCAGCAGCTCCAATGAACTGGGATCCCATCTCCAGGGATCACAAGTTGCCACTCACGGCCAACAGGTGGCCCCATTGAGAGACTTTTACCCTCTGCAGGGGGGCAGTTGGCATATTCTGATGCCCCGCCAACAGGGCAGATAAATATGGCAACAAAGTTGAGGATGATAGTCCAAGCAAAGTAAATAGTGTACATAATACCTCATTTTAAAAATATAGATAATGAAATTAGCTGTTTTAATTGATTGAATTTTTACCAATTTTGAAATGTCTGTGGTCATTTTTAGATTGAGATTAGCTAAATTTCTTTCAAGTTCATGCCTAATTTATCAGTTATTGATTATACTTTCTTTTTTGGTTTTGTGAATTTTGGAAGCTTTTCTTTGGGCATTGTATAATAACTGGAATTGTAAATTGTGGATTATTTTTAATTTATTTTTCTTCTTCAGGTAGACATTCAAGGCTGCAATAAAAACATGGTATAATTATAAGCATTGGTAGGTTGAAAATTTTCACCACCCCCACCTCATACTTATATAAGGTAAATTTTCCAGCTGGGGTGGGCAAATCTGAAAACCAACTGATTTAAAAAAAAAAAAAAAAATGAAATCCTAAATTCCTTTAAAATCAACAGTAAAATCATTTCAAATCCTTTTCAATTTGTTTGTATGTTGCATGCATATCGGAACACCTTCAATTTTGAAAAACAACAATGAGAATGAGAAACATAAACAAAATCAGCTTAATTATTCTACAAGGAAATCTGTTTTGGTTAACAGCAGCCATTTTGTTAATTCCTAATATCTAGTAACAAGAGTAACATTGGTTTCCACTATATCTAATCTGCTACTATACTCACATTTAAAATTTTAGCATGAGGCTGAAAAGTTTAATTCACAATATAGGGGTATACTTTTGAAGTATTCAAATTTCTTCTAAAATTTTGTTTTTGAAAATAAGAAATTATTTAAAGAATGTTACTAGAAAGCTCCAAATTATGTGAATTCTTTCATCATTTGGCATTAACAGAAAAAGTATACTTCATGGTTGTAAAGAAAACAACAAACTATTACGGACCCAATGAAGTTTTATTCAAAGCAATTTGACCATCACTTTTTTTAAAAAAGAAGTTTGAGGAGGAGACATCTATGGTTGCCTTCACCACAATGGCAAAATTAAATTGTTGATTCTGATCTGAGAGAATGACAGCAAAACACTTTCCCCTCCCCAATTTATAGGCAGAAGCACACAAATGTGTGCTGGAATTTTTTTTTCCTAGCCAATAAAATAATCCAGTTCTCAGTTTCATCTGACAGTCCTAGTCTGTCTTGAAGTCAGAATGCTACATTCACTTTTCCAAACTTGCTCTTGTGTGTCAACTTCAATTCTTAGTTTGTGAACTTTTTGTCATATTACTGTTGCTTTGCCTTATTACTGTTAATTTGCCTTTCATATTTTGTTTACTTGCTTCATAATATTTTTTGCCCTGTTCTTTTCTTTTTCTTGTTATTGCTTTGTTAATTCTATTTGTTAGACAGTTCTGTCGTTTATTTTACATTTAAATGTGACTACTCACTCCACATTATTTTTTTTGTGATATGTTCATTACAAATATTGGTCAAAATATAACTTGCATATATAGGAAGCAATGTCAAACTTCTTAAAATTAAGGAAATACTTAGATTTTTCAAGGACTAAACTAACCACTAAGGGAAAGAGCTGTCCTTTTCGTCAGTTTCAAATTGCAGGTTTTGTCAACCGAACAACATAAACTTCTGACAACAATACCAGTCATCATGTCATGCTAAATTTGCATTTATAATCTATCTGAACCCATTCTTATTTTTTCATAAACAAAGCTTTATTTTATTTTGGGAGACGCAAAGTGAATAAGAGCCTGGTTGCTTTCTGCAGAAAGGGTAACTAATATCTTTATTAAACTGTGACTAAATAAATGAAGAATACCAATCTGAGAATCTTTAAAAGTGTTTTACAGAGAACTGTAAAAGTGAATGTGAGAGAAAGTCCATTAAAAATAGTCATTAAATAAAGAGGGGATTAAAATAAGCAGTTTAAAATACCATTAAAATAAGGCAGCAAACAAAAGGACGGCTATTACAAAATAACTAGTAAAATAGGTCAGAAAATAACTATTAGAGAAAAGACAATTAAAAATAACTAGTAAAAAACAACGTCCTTTAAAAAGTAACCAAAAAAGGCCTTTAAAAATAATCAGTATAAAAAAGAAATATTAAACATTAAAACAACCTTTAAAAAAGAAATGCAGTAATTCCTTGATTGCATTGATTTTTAGGAAGTACAAAAGAGCATCAATAAGTGAGCAGCCTGATACTTAGTCATTAAATGAATTTTGATCTGAAATTTTCACAGTATAATGTTTAATCTACATTATTAAGTGCACTGACAAGAAAAAAAGCTTGTTGTAAAATAAATATTTGCTGTGTAAAATAGATACTTTTTTCATCATTAGGGTAAAGACTTATTGATATAACTATGTAAGATACTAACCATTAGTTTCTGTTGATGAATAGGGAAATTGCTGGATTTAATATTTAGATAACCGTTTCCAGAGAAGCACAACATGTCTTCATATTCTGAGTTCCAAGAGACACTGTTTGCATTTGGTTCCTGGAAAAGAAAAATTACATAATGATCAATCAGTGAAACTGTAGTATAGTATGCAAATTCAATAGACTGGTATTAATAGAGAACAACTGGCAAATATAGGGGCTGTACTTAGCATATCTGTTTGCTAAATGTAATGTGGAGAACTGTGCTTTGACTGCTACTACACAGAGAGATATACCAAACATAACAGAAATAAAGAAAATAGAAAATATATCAACTTCTAAAAAAAGCAATTTGATTTATTTATGAATAGAAGATGTGTTGATAGACCACTTTTCAGTCTCACCCACAATATTTTTATTTTTTTTTTGTCTTGAAGTCAGAACACTGCAATCACTTGTCTGTATCTCTTTTGTATGTTAACACTATCCTTAGGTTGTGGCCTTTTTTGTCTCATGACTGTAGCTTTGCCTACTTTTATCTTGTATATATTGTTTGCTTAGTATTATTTTAGCCCTTTTCTTTTTTATTATTGCTTATTGCAAACTTTTTCAATTCTGTTTATTGGTTATTTCTTCCAGTTACATTTAGCCATGACCAATTACTCTACAAAATGTTACAACTTAGGGTTTGAATCTCATCAGTAACTAATGAGTAGTTATTTGAATTACAACATTGTGGTAACTACATAATTAGCACCCTTGTTGAAGATTATCTCCCTTAACAGAAGACCTCTTCTAGGCTAAACAATTATAAATAACATTCATTCTTGTAACAGACTAAATAGTAAGCAGAATAAAACTTCCTAAGCTACACTGTTCTCCTATGTCTTATTACACATATAGGAAATGATTTTGCAAAATGTTTTGTGTATTACTTGATATACCGAGAGCAATGGGTAAATTATCGCCATTTTATATTTTTATTTTGCGCATGGGCATGTTGTTTGTTTTTGTTTTTGTTGACTGCACAGTTATAGTAGGATCAGTTGGGCACCATCTGTGAAAAAAAGAGCATCATGATGCAATTCACTCCACCAGAAATTTGGAAGCAGTATGCTGTAGTACTTGGAATTCATGCTGGAAGCTCCATACAAACATTTCAGAGTGTTTAGGTGTCAATCTGAAAAAAGTACAGAGGATTTGGAAAGAGTTGGATGAGTTTAATGGTGATTATGAAATTATGGCAGCTCAAAAAACTCACTCTAATCATTCTGATAAGAAAAGAACTTCCAAAACTGTTGGTGAGGGCCTCAGACTCAACATGGAGGTCTATATCAAATGCCTTGAGGAGGTTGTGCTGCCCTGGGCCAAGAGGGTGGCTGCTGGAAAATCCTGGCAATAGAACCCTGCACCATGCTACACAAGCAGGAAAACCCAGTCATGGCAATCAGACAATTTCTGCGACCACATCACTCCTTACATCTGGCCACCTAACTTTCCAGACTGCAACCCCCTTGATTATTATGTGTTGGGCACAGTTGAGTAAAAGACCAACAAAATTCCTTATAACACCAAAGATGAACTGAAGGCAAGGATTATGGCAGCATTCACCAACTTAAACAAGGAGACCATCTAGAAGAGTTGCAGGAGATTCCAAAGTTATCTGGAGACGATGGTAGAAGCAATGGTGATTTTATAGAATAAATTTACTCGTTAGTATTTGAAGATATTTTTGTGTAGTTTTGGTAAATATATCTGTTAAAATGAGATGTCAGTGTTATTTTCATTTTTGTGTCATTTAGACAACAGATTATCCATCGCACCCTGTAGTTGGCACTCATTATTTGCCTATATAAAATAATGTATATTTTTTTTTAAAAATGCAACATGTACACACATTTTATCAGGACATTTTTGTACTTTCTGACATTTAAAGAGCTTGAAACTTGGGTTGAACATTGCTATAATTAAATAAATTTTTTGAGAAAAGAATCAGACTAATACATCTCACCTGTCAACATCAATCTAAGTTAAAAAATATAAATGATGATTTAATATAACATGGGGATATGAAAAAGGATTTGGGATAAAAATGCAAAAACAATTCAGATGAACACTCCTTTCCCTTCCTATTTAAAAGGAGAAAAATCAAGACCTCAGCTTCACACTAACAGCGACTTACAGCAAAGCAATCATATGAGTTAATATTTTAAAGCGGTTTCAGTTTCACAGCCATAGAATTTTCAAAATTGATTTTCTTTTTCCCCACTTTTTCAAGAGACTGACATTTTTGGCTTGTTTTTTAGCTTCTCTCTCTCTCTCTCTCTCTAATTTGCTAAAAGTTATAAATGGAGTTTGATGTTACAGAACATTTTGAAATTGTCAATTATATTTTATTTAGACATTTTAAAATGTCAACATTCACTATAAGTAAAACATAGGCCATTTTTTATCATCCATAATCAAAGTGTCTGATCCTAAATAAGCAGAATATTATTAAAAAGTCTGTCTGTGCACAGATGCAGGAAGTTAACACAGAACAAAGAGTTCTCTTTAATATAATAAAAAATACATGAAATTGAAATGGTCTTTGTTGATGAAAGTAAAAAAAAAAGACCTAAGAACTAAGGGAAAATTGAAGTAAAGATTTTTTGTCTCATGCTTGACATATGGAACAAAACTTTAAATGACAAAGAATTCTCATTAAAAGTTACCAAGATTGCAGCATATAGAATCAACAAACATAGCATTTATTAAAACAATACAGTTTGCAAAGAAGGTATATTACATAGAGAACTTAAATATACTTGCCTCTAGCCAAATTATTACATAAATATCTTTCATGATGAAATATGAACCTAATGTTAAAAATAATGAATGTAAAAGCCATTTTTAATTCTGCCAAAGAAAACTCCTCCTTCCTTTCACTGTCATTTTCAGTTGGTAACTTTCATATTTACTATATTTGGTCCTTTAATCAAGTAAAAGACTTATTTTTTGATTATATTTTTCAGTCCTTAACATTTTGCTTATATTTTTTGACACCATCTTTCCAGTCACCAACACCAGCACAGAAAAAAAAAAAAATTTTTTTTGCAATTTACTTTGCCATGTTCTCTTTTGTCCTTTTCTATTGTTTTTTTTGTAAATAATAAGTAATTACAGAATGTTCCTGGTGATGAAAGTAGAAAATAGATTGTTCATTGGCTGCAAGTTCTTCTTATAGCTTAATATTTCCGATTGAGAGTTAATATTTGAATTATACCATATTGTTGTATACTGTTTACTGTAATAATAAATTGCTTGGCCCTAAGAAATTATTTTCATGGATTTTTATGGATAACCATTCTGCAACATGTTCTCTGATGCTGGTTCAATTGTTGATAGGTATAATAATGATACAAAATTCTTTTAACACCCAAATTTCAACATCAGCATGTAGTCACTGATAAGAAATTACATAAAATGAGAAAATAATTTATACAAAATATTGTTTGATTAAAAATTTCACATGGAGACATCTCTCCAATGAAATAGAAAACTTTTATCACTTTATTTTGCTGGTCAAAAGTAAGGAAAACTATTACAATTATAAGTTCCAATGTTTAAGCAAACAGAACTCATCTAACAGCTCCTAAGTAAGAGGTAAAGAAAAAAATAGTACTAAATAACAGGAAAAATGAGAAAATGTTAGTATTTAAAACCTGTTTTTATATATATATATATATATATATAATAAAAAAAATAAGGATGCTATAAGAACAGTGTGCAATGTCAAATATAAAAAATACCTAAACAGGGCCAATACAAGAAATATAAAAAAACAATATGCAAATATTACTGCCTTTCTGTGACTTCAAATTTCATGTGGACTCCTAGTTTGTTAAATACCTATCTCACAATCTGTGCCTTTTTTATAAATATTTTCATAGTAATTGTTCTGATGAAATTTCCTTTATCGTAACCTGGGATTTATGAATTTAAGTGCAGTACTAGAATGGCAGCAAGGTCTAATCATTTTTACAGTTCAAATGGCTTGATGCAACTGTAAGTTCTATACTAACAGTTTCTTCTCTCACACTTCTCGCTTGTGGAACTCTCTTCCAGCTTCTTGCTTTCCAGTCAGCTTTGTTCTTGTTCTTTTATTGTTATTTCTTCTTAATAATGTTTTTTTTTCTCATATTCTCTTACACTTGTATCTCAGTACTTTATTGCTTTGCTTGGATTGAAATGATTAAAAAAAACTATACAAATGAATATCTCATCCCTTGTACCACCTGCAGATTGTGAGACAGCCATTTAACAAACTGGGAGGCCATATGAAACTGAAAGTTGAGTTTTTGTTTTTTTTTCTTATATATATTTATATATATATTAGAATTATAAGTTTATGTTAAGTAATACATAGTTTGTATTTAGACAATTTCTGCTTTTTGTTTTTATTCTTTTTACTCCCATTCCTTTAATGTCACTTATTGCTATGGAATAAATATTCTCCAAAAAAACTACTTGTAAGTTAGACATTATTTTATTAGCATTTATTTACTTCTTTCATGTTTATTATGGCTTCCCATATCGGTAAGGTTGGTTAATTTAAGGACATATCAACCCTGGTTGGGTTATTTAATATCAAATATAAGTCTTATAGGTAAAAAATCACAATGAATTAATAGTTTCAATATCAGTTTTACTATATTAGACACCATCAAGAACAAGATATATATATAATTATTTTAAAAAACAGAATTTAAATGTAAAATTAGGCTGTAAATGGCAACTTTAAAACATTTTCCTTGCTACCAAATAGAAAATAACTCTTGTTATAGCAATAAAGTCCAGGAAAATATTTCTTTAACATTATCATCTGTCAAAGCCAGACAGACATGGCCAAGATTCACTTAAATTTGATCAACTTGAAATTTAAATTTCAGTATGTACCTGATGCACTCTAAATCTGTCTGCAGGGTCTGTCAAATGCTTTTGCTGTCACAATGAAGAGTGCAGAGAGATGTTTTGTTCAAAACACATTTTGTAACTGTCTCATAACATATTTCTTATCAAGAATGCTTCAGCCTGGCTGACAGCCACTGTGAGTCTATAGGGGATTCTACTCGGAGA